GTTTAATTTTTTTATTAGAATCCTAGATTGAGTTTTAATATAAGTACTACCAGAATTAGGTTTTCTAGTTCTATTATAATGATGAGACTTATGGCTATAAAAGGTCCTCACACCTTTAGTTATATTCATCTAAGTTTTCATCAATAAAAATATCTAGCTTTTCAAGCTTATAGCTTCGGCTTTCTTTTAGTGCTTTTTGAGAGGTTTTTTTCAACCTTCTCATTGAGTGAAAAATTAGTTCTGCTTATTAAGATAATCTTATGGCATTTTATCAATTATTAATACTTATCCCAATTACTTCAGTTCTTAATCACGGGTTGATTGTGGGTTAAATAGGGAGGATTTGTTTAGAAATTAAGTTGTTGTGCTAGATTGCATGTTGGCATTTTTGATCACATTGGTTGATCCCAGCTTTCCACATCAATATCTCTTACTAATCTCCAAACAATGTGTTTCACTTTAAGCAAGACATTTACATGCCAAATCTTCTTATGATTAACCACAGAAGTCATAGTGGTAGTATTTATAAAGGCCAACATTTCTTGCTTCTAGGATATCATTTATCTCGACTTCACTAAATATTTCCCACATTTTCTAAAAGATCATAAAAGCTTATTCTAAGGTAATTTATAACAGAATGGGATAACTAAGATCTCGTGTGCTTTGCGGGGTAAGAATGTACTATAAACTAAATTTGTATTCCACATGGTCGTGCCCAATAAAGTTCCACAAAAAATGTACTATAAACTAAATTTGTATTCCAGATGGTCGTGCCCAACAAAACTAACTTAGAGACTCTGTCGATACAACAACTAGGTGTATATGGAGACCAAATTCCCCTAGGGGAATATTAAACCAACATTTTCCTTCCCATACCAACACATTACGACCATCTTTAATTCTACATTTAAGGTCCTCTCTTAGCATATCACGACCAATCAAAAGACTATGCCACATATAACTCGGTCGAGCTCTCGTAGTGGCATTTAGAGATTGCAATTAAGAAACACTTTATTTTTAAACTGTTATATAAAAGAGATGAGTGATTATTGTATGGTCTTCATACCTGCTCAACTAGAATAATCTTCTTATAACACATAAAATCCTTAAAATCCAAACCATCTCTCCACTTTAGGAACATAAAGAGAAACCCACTAAAGTGAATGAATCTTCTTTCTCTTTCAAGTTGATAACAAATGGATTTCGGCAGTGGATACATGCTCATGACATATGTGGGGATAGATCGTGTTATTACTTTGTTCATAACTTCCTTTCTCGCTCTCGACAAATTAGGTACACTTCCTTATGTAACTTTTTTGAAATATTTATAATGAGGAATTTGAAATTGGAATGAGGAGATTGACCCACCAAAGTTGCAAGCCCCAAATATTTTGTATGTGCATCAATCAAATACCCAATAAATTCCCAAGCTAGTGGCACAATTAAATATTGAATCCTTTTAAAAAAGGATGAAAGATTTTGCTAAATAACTATATATTAATATGATCTATTTGCTCAATAGTACTCTTATTAAGTTTTTATGATGATATAAATTTAAGTCATATTATACATTCCATCTATCTTTTTTGAAAAATTGATTGTATTGTTTTTTCATATAAAGGTCAATATTGTTACTATTATACAAGTACTAGTTAATTATTAGAATGAACTCATTTCTACTTTAAAAAATATTAATATGACGGATAATGACATTAAATAAATATCCAATTGATTCAAAGCTTATTCATCAATTGATTGGTAAAAACAATGGTAGATTGAAATCCAATTAGCCTTAAACCACGAATTAAAACAAGACAAAGGGAGAGATCTGAACTCTCATACATCTCCACATCATGTGAGATAGAATCTTTATCCCAAATAAGAAACATTACACGTGGCATGCACCAGAACCAAAAGCATTACCTTCAATTGACCAATAGGAACTAGCCTTATCCTATCCCTTATCTTACTTCCACTGACACCACCAACATAAACTTTCTTTTTCCACTCACACAAATTCCTTCCTTCCTCTATTCTTACAAAGACAGAGCAGAGCCAGGGTTGAGATCTCGTAAGTTTCAACGATGGCAGCCTCTCTGCAAGCAGCCGCTACCCTTATGCAGCCCACCAAGGTGGGAGTCCCGGCTCGCACCACCCTCCAGCTCAGGTCATCCCAGAGTGTAACCAAAGCTTTTGGCTTGGAACCCACTGCGTCTAGACTCACTTGCTCTCTTCAAACTGACTTCAAAGAACTCGCCCAGAAATTTGCTGATGCTACCAAGATCGCCGGTTTTGCTCTTGCCACTTCTGCCCTTGTCGTCTCCGTATGCTCTGCAACTCTTAGTTTACTCCCCCTCTTCCATTTTCATGAAGTTTCAATTTTTAATCTTTTTATTTTATTATCTTGCATAGGGAGCAAGTGCTGAAGGAGTTCCAAAGAGGCTAACCTACGACGAAATCCAGAGCAAGACATACATGGAAGTGAAGGGAACTGGAACTGCTAACCAGTGCCCAACAATTGAAGGAGGAGTTGACTCATTCTCGTTCAAACCAGGCAAATACTATGCAAAGAAAATCTGTTTAGAGCCAACTTCATTCACAGTCAAAGCCGAAGGTGTCACCAAAAGTGCTCCTCCTGAGTTCCAGAAAACCAAGCTCATGACTCGACTCACCTACACCCTTGATGAGATAGAAGGACCTTTCGAGGTCTCCTCCGACGGCACCGTCAAGTTCGTGGAGAAAGACGGCATTGACTACGCTGCCGTCACTGTTCAGCTTCCCGGCGGCGAGCGTGTACCTTTCCTTTTCACCATCAAACAGTTGGTGGCATCTGGTAAACCAGAAAACTTTGGTGGAGAATTTCTCGTTCCCTCGTACCGAGGTTCTTCGTTTTTGGACCCAAAAGGACGAGGTGGGTCAACCGGTTATGACAACGCTGTTGCCTTGCCGGCCGGCGGGAGAGGTGACGAGGAGGAATTAGTGAAGGAGAACATCAAGAACGCAGCTTCTTCGACCGGGAAGATCACACTGAGTGTAACCCAGAGCAAGCCAGAGACTGGAGAGGTTATTGGAGTGTTTGAGAGTGTTCAGCCATCTGACACTGATTTAGGAGCAAAGGTTCCAAAGGATGTTAAGATTCAGGGGATCTGGTATGCTCAGCTTGAGTCGTAGATGTGTGTATTATAAATCATGTATGTATTGATTTTGCTATAATTAAGTTGCTAAAGTTCTGTAAGTTAATTGGATAAACAGTGAGATGGATCGTTTTTATTGCTTCATGTCTTGATTTCCTTTTGTTCAAGTCCAAATTATTTAGTTTTTTTGTTAGTAAATAAGGAATGTCGCCGGGTCAGATCTACACAAGCGAAGCTGGATTATCTTGAGCTGACAAAGTTTTAGATTTTAAGAAACCATTTTATGTTATCAATTTTTTAATTGTACTTGATTGTTTGTTTACAAACTCCAGCCTCAAAGCACGTAAGTATTTATTATTTTGTTGTATAAATAAATATATTTGATTCGGAATCAATTTTATTATTTTAAAAATAAATAAAAAATTAATTATTTAATTATTAAAAAAAATAAGTAAGGATGTAATTGAATGCAATTTTAGAGAAAAAGAAGTGAAAATTTGAATTCGGTGAATATTTTTTAAAAAAAAAATTAGAAAAAGAGTGTCAAAGTATAAATATGAAAAGTTCAACTACGTAGGACTGTCTAGTCAACAGTTCTGATGAACCGAAATACGCCGCGTGATAAAACACGCTGACGTCGATGCCACGCAGGAGGCCATGCGGGCGATCTGTGTACCCTGCGATCAGACGACCTAGGACCGATCTTGCGCACGTAGACTACCCGGATTCGTTTTCCCCTTAAGCGCGATCAGACAGTCGAGATCAATCGCGATGGACGGTCTAAATTTTTTTTTCTTCTTAGGCGTGATTAAACGGACAAGATCAATCGCAATGGACGACCCAGATCAATGCAGAATGGGTATAAATATTTCACGTCGCATGGGAACCCAAATCTTAGCCGCCAGCCCCCGCCGAAGAAGAAGAACCAAACGTTGGAGAAAGAGGCTGACCACCGACTATCGCTGCACCGGAACCACTGTCGACCGCCAAAAAATGTAAAAATTCTCTCTACCTGCTCAGAATTCAATTCCGAGCATCCTTGTGCCCAAATTGGAGCAAGTGAGTGAGCTAGAAACCGCCATGGCCAAAACCCCAAAATCCCTCTGATGAGCCCCTTCTCGATTTCTGTTTCATGTCATTTTTTTATCATTGTATTAATCATCCTTTTCTATGTAGGTTAACCGAATGAGGAACCCTAGCTGTGAAGACGGATCGGCAGAGCCGCCACAACCAGTGAGACCCCGCCATTAGGTTCAGTGTTTTTGGTGATTTTTTGGCCAACTAAGGTCCTCTAATGTATTTTTCCACAGGGATACGTGTAAAGCCCGCTAAAATCGACCAAAACTGACCAAAACTAGCCTGATCGAGGCGGACGACCGTCGTGGGCAGCGGAGCCAGCACCAGAGCACAGCAACACCTTCGTGTCAGAACCCCAAATTTGATCGGAAAGAGTTTTAAACACCGATTTTAAATTTTTAGGGTATTTTTAGATACGTGACGAGTGTTTTGAATTTTGCAGAAAAAATTCAATGAGCCCGGTACCCGTTAGGAGGTGTGGTAGATAACACGACGTCTCGAAACACGATCCAAGTAAGGATCCCTCATCCTATTCTCTGTTATGGTAAATTAGGACTTAACGATGTATAATTTTATATTTTTGTGAAAATTAAAAAATTTTAAAAATAATTACAAATTACTAGTGGAACCGGAACTGGTTAGTTTACAATTGTCTTGATTTCTTGTTTATTTTTCTGTACTGTCCTACTTGCTTGATTTTCGTATAATACATGTTCTTAATTTATAGTTTTAATGGTTTTATTGACTTATTTAGTTATTTTGGTTATATACTATCGGAATGAATATAGTTTAATTGATCTGTAAACGTAATATGAGATATTGGCATGCGTTTGTTGGTTATTTATTGATAAAAATCTGTATGTGAAAGATTTATTGGGTACACAGGGAAAGGGCAGACGGGTCCGGTACATAGAGAACCCTACCATGAACGTTATCTCAGTCGGACGGGGATGAGAAGTCCCTTACCAGAAAGGTTTGGGAGATATAGTTCACCCTCATACCGAACGGAGTATTGAGGTGATGGAATATTTGGCGCCCATTACCGGATGGAGTACGGGGATGGCTGGTTAATCATAAAATTGGATATTGAGTTCACGAGTAGGGTAGGACATCCCTATGGATCCCTAAGGGGTACCAATAAGCAGGTAAGAAATGAAAATTATTATCTCTTGTTCTCGTATGTGTGAAAGTAAAAAGTAGTATGGATATGGGTTTTCATAGGTTATTTTTGAAAAACACGTTACGGTAAGTATCAAACAAACATCTTCAAGTTTAAAGGTATTTAAATAAAGTAATGGCTCCATTAGTTATTTTTCTGATTTTTACCAATCTTCAGTTTTTCGTATCTGTGATAAGTGTGATTTTCTTACTCGGCTAGTATAGCTCACCCTTTCATTAACCATTTCAAATCAAGAGGATCAGGATCCAGATTCTGATCAGAAAGAGGGTTGTGAATAGTTCATCACCCGGACTCCCTTCAAGTGCTAGTGAAGGTTGTCCTAGTGTACTTTTGTATTCGCTCTTTTGTTCATTTTTTAAATTACCATTTGTCTTTTAGAATGAACATTCTCGTAACCCTATTGGGCGTTTTAAATTATTGTATAAGGAATGTAAACCCTAACTCTATTAATTGCTTCCGCATTTAATTTTATGAATTCATCTCCATTTAAGTTCTGGGCTTTCACAAAAAAGAAAAATTATTAACTAATACTATATGAAATGAGTTCATGCACTATATTTACATGTTATATAATAAACTTTAGATTTTTAATTAGAGATTGCCACAAAATACAGATGATGGTTTAGGGTAGGATTTCATATTTGTCACTTGAATCTTATGACTAAGAGTATATTATAAAGATGTTTCCAATATTTACGTGGGTAGAAAGGGTACTAATTTTGTTGAAAACATTTGAAATATGAGTAGGAGAGTTAAGAATGAGATCTCTTCTAACGACATTTTTTGTTAAATAAAAAACCATTTTCCTAGGGATTCTTAATATTCAACAAATTTTTCTTTTCATCGTGAGTTCTTTTTCCATTATTTTTTTCAAAAGAAGAGCTCGAAGGGGAATAGTACATTGGTCCTTCGAGCTGAAGAATAATATTGGCATCAAAGAAGTAAAAGTAATTGGATTTACGATAGTTATCAAAAAGTTCTACTACACTTTTATACAATAGTGCAACATATTAATCATAATGCTAATGATAAAAATTGACAGTATCCCATAGTTTAACTATAGCATTATTAAGAAGTATGTATTGAATATTTTACTAAGCTGTTGTTTGATAATGGTAATATAACTTGCATGAGAAAACTTAGGAATTACCTTTCTATTTTGTTGGAAAAATTAATCTCTAAACCGAGTACAATCACAGTAAAGTAAAAGCAATAGAAAAGAACATACAAGATTTAATATGGTTTGACAGTATACCTACATCTACTGGTAAGATTGACAAAAAAAATTTTCCACTATGATCAAAAGAGAGTGCATAAGTAATATGTTAGCAAACATATATATAGAGAGACTAGTAGAGTTTTTTTTCAATAAAAACTCTCAAGAATATACATATATTATTTCTTATGATAAATACAAAATATTTATAAAATATCAACTAGGATAAACATTAAATAGGCTCCATAATATATATAAGATAGCTTCCAGAATATATATAAGATATCTCCAAAATTCAAGCCACCTCAACAAATCTTTCCTTGGGTTGAATTCCCTATATTATCAAAGCAACTGACCATTTCGTCACACCATCTTACCAATTGTGCTCTCACAGTGGCACTATTGAATATCATGTGCTCCAACTAAGTCTACATCATGCCTAAATTTGCTACCTGATCCCCGAATGAATTGATATCTGCCATTAAATTCTTCACATACAACACTAACCTCCTGACCTGTGTCTGAACTCTTTGATTCCTACAAATCAATTATCCTTGCAACTAAGAAGGCATATGTAATCAAATTCTCATATTTCTGTGGTGGTCTAATATATCTTTTCTCCCTATCTGCTGTAATATTATATGGTTGTTGTTGATCAGGTACACTATCATCTTCTTGATTAAGATCCTACACGTCATTCTCTAGACCATTAGACTAAAATTCTATCTCTACTTGTTCTCTGATACGGTGATCTAATTATATTATTGGCTTCTGATGTGAGCAAGGAAATGAAAGACTTCTATGGGATTTTCTTTCCTAATCCCATGGGAAATCTATATTCTTAAGAGGGAGAATTGGCCAATCAAGGAAATTGATCCTAAATTGCAAGTTTGTTTGAGAAAAGAGAAAAATTCATTAAATGCCAAATCTTACAAAAAATAAAAATATATTTAAATTCATTCCCCTAAATCAGTCACAATTAATTAAGTATTTCTTATTTATTAAGCTTTCTACAAAATGAGATCATATCTATCATATTTTAGTTATAATTCTCTTAATTTTATTAGTTTTCCTATTCTATTTTAGATTTATTTTTCTATTTAATTTTATTATTAATCTAGGAGATTGTTTTTCTTATTATTCACATGGCTTATACTATAAATAGGTCACCAATTCATAGTTGTATAATTTAAGTATGAGAATAATAAAATTATAAAGTTTTAGTTTTCAACTAATAAGGTTTTCTTCAACCTTCTTGTTGAGTAAAAATTAATGTCTACTTATTAAGGTAACTTGTGGAATTTTTATCAATTTCTTTTTTTGAATTGATTTTAACTAATTAAAAGTTTTCTTGTGGGGTTTTAATCAATTCAATTATCTCAATTACCTTGGTTTTCACTTCCTTGTTAAGTGTGGGTCAACTAGGAAAGATTTGTTGAGAGTTTAAAGATTATGAATAGTAAAGTATATGTGGGATTTTTTGATCACGTTATTGATCGTGGGTTTTGCATCATATTCTCCTTCTAACTGTCTAGTGTAGCAGACTCATTAAATGTCACATCTTTACTGATAATCAACCTTGGAACTCGAGATCACTACACAATAACCTGTAACCTTTCACTCCATATGCATACCCTAAAAATATGTATTTGTTTGCTCTCAGCTCAAGCT